TTTCTGCAGCCTCTGTATACCTGACTCCTTAGCTCCTAATTCTTACTGCTATCTTTCAGTCAAACCCCCTGATCTTCTGGTAGGAAAGATCTAAGCCTAGCCTTCTCGGACAAAGGCGAAAAATCTCGGAGGAGTTGCGCACGTTAAAGTTGCCTTGGTGGTCTAACATCGATAAGAGTAGGCTTAGGCCGCTACCGGGGCAAAATTCAAAATTTTCTACCAACTGAAAAGTTTTTACTGTCCGGCGCGCTCACATTATGACTTTATGCATTTACGAGCGCCGTAAAACACTTACCAAAAACAAAACATGCAACAACAAAAACCAAAAAAACAGGAAAGTTCGGAAACTATAATACGAGTCTACGTCTCCACCCATTGTAATCAATTTTGAAGCCCATTTCATTTTCTCCTCAGCTGTAGATCAAGTTGGATATTCAATATAATTTATTATTATTATTATTATTATTATTATTATTATTATTATTATTATTATTCATTATTCATTCACAGCCGTAAAACCCTCTAATATTAAAAAAATTACAGCCAAACTAGCGTCTGTGGTGGTTTTTTGTTGCTTGGGTTTTTTTTGGGATAGGGGGGTTGGGGGTTGTTTTGGAGTGTTTGGTTTGCTTTTCATAGTTTTGTTTTTTAAATAATGTAAGTGTTTTTACGCTCCCATCGACACAATTAGATGATTTATTAGAAAACGGGCTTGAACCCTTACTGTCAAGCCCGGCCAAACCGAGCTAAGAGTAATACAAGGTCCAAACAGAAAGACCGGGATACTCAATAAAAATTCTCCCCACATAGAACCGAACTCGGGACTTCTGCGTGCGACAGTGAAGCACTTAACCGCTACTCCGCAGATTCTCGCAAAATAAATTAGTTCGATATCCGAGAGAAGAAACTCCTTAATAAATAAGGTTTCTGCTTGGATGTGTCTTTGTTGTCATTGCCATTGTCATAATATTGATCTATCCGAGGGTTCATTGGACAGCCAGAGTCGAAGGATAAGATAAGATAAGACAAGACAAGACAAGACAAGACAAGACAAGACAAGACAAGACAAGACAAGACAAGACTTTATTTTCCTAGAGGAGTTAACCTCTTGATTATGTTAAACGTGGCGATGGGGTGGGGAAGACGTAATTGTTAAAAACAACAAACTTCAAAAAATACATTTAATTTTCGTATACAAAGTCATAATTTTATCTTTATTCTTTCTGCAGTTGGAAAACGCTATAGACTCTTGGGATTCTGATTCGAGTCGGATAGGTAAGTCAAACACTCAGAATGTTTCTTTTTGTTACTGTTGCTGTTTTCGTGTTTTGTTTTGTTTTTTTTGTTTTATAAAGATCGAGAGATTGTGTAACTCAAATACACAATTATTTATTAGTTTCGAAAGTGACGCACCTGGTGTTGTAATTTAAGTGAAGAAGAAATAAGAAAGAACGAAAGAGAGCAGGAATGAGACACAAAAAGGAATATCAGACACACACACTCACTCACTCACCCCCCCCCCCACACACACACATACACACTCACACACAAACACATACACACTCACACACACACACACACACACACACACAAACACACACACACACACACACACAAACACACACACATACATACATACATACACACATACATACATACACACATACATACATACATACATCTGATTATTTTTATTCGTGTTTGGTATTCTTCCATCAGAGTGTTTTCCCGTTGATCTGGCACAGAGGAGTTATGTACGAGTTATCTCTTATTACTTTCAAACGTGGTGTGGAGAGAAGGGCAAGAACGAAGGTGGTATGAAAAGGGGGTGGCCGGAAGGGGAGGGGGGGGGGGGCTCTTTACAAATGACAATTCGTTTTCTCTTCATTTTCATCCGTCCTATAGAATCGAGATCAGCTCGCAATGTCTTCTGACACAGTTCCATCCGAAACGTTAGCGTTTATAATTAAAGGCTTCGTCCTCTCCACCTGGGGTGAAGTGTCCTGAATTGCAAAAGGCTTTTGGAACGGGTGGTGTGTGTAATTTCGAAAATGCTCGGGGTCGTACCTCTGCTTTTCAAATTTACTGCAATGAACTTTTTGGAGTCTTTTGTGCAACTATTTGTAGATTGGAATAATAACATATTATATGAAGCTTCGAGTATTTCGTATTTAGGTCAACCAAAAATAGCGTGACAGTACAACTTTAGAGTTCTATCTCCCTTATAAATTATTTGTTATAGGTAAGCCCCAGTAGTTCTTATGTTTCGGTATGTAGGGCAATTTGCTTTGAATGCAAGGCTTACAAGAATCTGTCAGTATTGCAGTAGATGTTTGGGTGTTTATTTGTGTTAAATAGATTGTGTTCTGGACATCGACTGTTCAATAAATGCTTAGCAAAGCAGTCACAATTAGCAATCACCTTTATCTTTAACGGGCCAAGAAAGAAATAGCATTGCCGACATGTGGGAAAACAAACAAACAGGCTGATAAGCAGCAGAAAAATTGCAAGCAAATAAGGAAGAGACAGGAAAACAGCCAAACTCACAGCTGGACTGAAACGATTAGACGGGTAGGCTGACAGTCAGACAAATAAAAATTCGAGTAACTGACATACGATAACAGTTGTACTGGCATAGCACGCGATAGATAGATAGATAGATAGATAGATAGATAGATAGATAGATAGATAGATAGATCAGCATCATACATGATAGACTGTATACATTATTATTTTTGTTGTTGTTATATTCTCGTGGAAGATTGAGCGAAACGAAAGGGCCGCAGCCCAGAAAGTGGTCTAATCTTCTGATTGTTCTTCCTATTATGACCGACTCACGTATATGGTGTAAGGGTTACGCTTTCCACAGGTTTTGTAAGCGAAACATATGAGCTCCATTCCCTCGTGGGGAACTCTTATTTCAGCGGGTGTCTTTTGCTTTCTGATGGGATGCCCGGGTTGTTTTCTGACAAGCACTGTAGAAGCAGCCCGCATGTCCAAAGTGATAATTTTGATTTTGTCGAAAAGACGCTAAAATCTCTTAAAATAATTTGATCTTGTTATGATAGGACGGACTTCAATATGCCTTCTTCATTTCGAAATGAAAATGCCTGGAACAATACCTGGAATAATAAGCATGTTTGAATAATAGTGTTACATTTTTCAGGTAACCTTTTCTCCAACACATTCTGGAGCTACTACGAGGACTACTATCAGGGATATTGTCGAGCCAAAAGGTAAGTAGATGCACCGTTAACTTAATTAGTATCGTGCTTGACTGTCATCGGAGACAAAGAAAGGTAAATTACCTTGTAATGATTGTAGGTGTCATTCCATTCCCGCATCTGTGGTGTAGCGGTTAGGTGCTCTGCCGTCGCACGGAGACGACCCGAGTTCGATTCCTGTACGGTGAAAACTTTTATCGAGTATCTGTCTCCTTCTGCTGTGTCGGATAGCTAAGGTCGAAGCCTGCTGCCTAAATTATCTAAACTGTTGGTTTTTTTAAGTTTTGGTAGAGTTTTTACGGTACTCGCAACTGCATAAGGTCATATGAGCGCCAAGGGGTGGATGTCAACAGAGAAATCCATACAGGGAATCAGACTTACTGAACTCTGCTCACCTCTCTAGCTTCAACAGCACAAAGTGTGCTTCGACTATCAAGGCATCCCGGAAAAAGCGGCCAAAAGAGTGTGTCAAACATACAAAAGAAGTAGAGGAAAAATGACTTTAGTAAGGATTAGGAAAGAAAAAGCTGCAGGTCCTAATTGCAGTTCAGGCACCATTATGAGCATGACATTGGTTAATCAGCCCCTTTACAACTCTACTGAGCATAAGAACATGTAAATGACCCCATTTGGGAATGGCCTACAGACACGTCAGTCCAAATTGTGTTGATGGGAGCGAAAATACACCTACATTTTTTTAAAACCTTTCCATACCAAAACGTGGGTTTGTGCGGATGAATCAAGGTCTGTACCCGATTCAGTCTTAAATAATAGCAGCTGCTTAGCGATACCAAATTGAAAGATATAGATTTTCAAACCAAAGACCGATGAATTTTATAGAAACTGAATTTAACATTCTAATAAAGTTGTAGATGACACTGCACACAAAGCTGCGCCTGTGGTGTAGCGCAAAGGTCTTTGCAGTTGCGTGCTGGAGTTCTCGATTCCTGTGTGGGGAGAATTTTTGTCGAATAAAATCTCGGTTTTCCTATTTTACCTTAATTTTTCTTTTGGTGAGTGTTTTACGGCGCCCACAAAATGTCATATGAGAGCATGGGACACGATAAAAAATTTCTTTTTGGTAGAAATTTTGAATTTTGTTAGGGTGGCAGTCGAAGCCTAATCTTATCATTTTTAGGACCACCAAGGGATCTTTAACGTGCGCAACTTGTACGGGACCTCCGAGATATTTCGCCCTTATCCGAGAAGGCCAAATGTTAGATTTTACCAACCATAAGATCCGGAGTGTGGTTGAAAGACGGCAGTAAGAAGGAGCCATGGAGTAGCAGTAGAAAGGCTGCAGAAAGAGTTAGGAGCTCAGAGGAGCGGGCAAAAAAAGAGGGGGGGGGGCA